AGAAGTGGACGACTAATAATGAGAAGAAACCCAAACATAAAACCAGAGGTTTTCACCGCATTATAAATCGAGCCGAGAATGCAATGACTGGTGTTGAGCCAAAACTCAATAAACACATCAAATTTGACAATTAATTGTCGTCTAAATTAATCACTCATTCATTCATTAAATTCATTATAAAATCTAATAAAATGTTTGAAAAATATTTAATAGTCTTATATTTTAAAATAAATGACAATTAATGGCAAAAAAATGAAAACTTATGTAAAAATCTAAATCATCATAATTATCGTCTGAAACCCCCACCCCCTCGGCCGCCGCCAAAGCTTCGTCCGCCACCGCCTCCGCCGAAACCTCTTCCACCGCCGCCTCCGCGACCGCCACCAAAACCACGGCCTCCGCCGCCGCCAAAGCCTCGTCCACCGCCTCCTCGGCCGCCGCCGAAGCCTCCTCTTCCTCCACCTCCGCGACCACCGCCTCTACCGCCGCGACCTCTTCCGCCACCTCTGCCTCCACCAGTCTTTCCGGAAGCGTTGGGCAGAAACCTCTGCAGTGGTAACAGCTTTTGCGGATCGATATAAAACTTTTGTTGGATTGGAAACGAAGACGCCTTCATGTTCTCCATTAGTGTCACTGATATTGACTGCAAGTAAATGAAGAGACGATTACATTGACTCAAACGTTAATAATAAACACCAATAATAATAATAAAAAACTCACGTAATCTCTAATTGATCCGAAGATTTCGTCCACTTTTCCGACCTGTTGTTTGTTTTCGGTATAAATGGGAGCATTAAAAAAGGGCACCTCTTCTACGCCCGCCTTAATAACCAATTGGTTTTGGCACTCATGAGTGTAAAGACCAAACTCTTTGACAAACTCGGGTGGGCCGGTGTCGAAGCGTCCGCCACCGCCGCCGAAACCTCCGCCCCGACCGCCGCCGCGTCCGCCACCTCTGCCGCCAAACCCTCGACCGCCGCCACCACTGCCTCCGCGAAACCCACCGCCGCCTCCGCCGCCAAACCCTCGGCCACCGCCTCCACGACCGCCGAAACCCCGACTCATCGCTCGACTGATTGTCCTTTGGATTAGTTTTCAATCAAACTTTTCACTGATTTTTGTGTTAAGATCTCACTTCAAAACACGTGTTATTTTGCGTCCAAAACACAAATACAACTCATTTATTGTGACAACACTTTCGCCGACTATTTGTTTGAAACAAAACTAAATGTTTTAATTTTTTTACACACTTTTATTGACTTAATTTTGTTGAAAATTTATTTAATTTGTTTTGACGTTAAAAACCATGTGTTTATTGAATTAAATTAAACTAAATCTCAATTTTTAACACTAGTTTGTATTAACTATTCATAAATAACGTATACTTTAATTCTTTAATAATGTGCTGTACATAAAGTACGCTACATATAAATGGGGAGTGAATTGATTACAGAATTGCAGAATATTTGCATATATTTGATAGGAATTGCAAAAAATGCTTGAATTAAATGACAAACACATGAGAAATGCTAATTATTTTGATTATTAAGTTTGTTTAAAACATGTTATTTGCAAGAAATGCATTAAATTCTATATAAATTCTATGAGAAATAATTTACGAAAAACAAAAAAGTTAAATAAGTATTCATTAGAATAGATATTAAATAATCAAAATATATTTGTAATGAGAAATGTTTTCAAAGCAGACAAATATTGTGTAATGAATTTTGAGAGAAACAATAGTAAGAAATCTAACGATTAATTAGCACAGAGAGAGAGAGAGAGAGAAATAGAGTGAGAGAGTGAGCGAAACATTGGGAGAGAGTTTTATTTGAGTTTGTAGTCTGTGTTCAGTCGACTATTCATTCGTTACATT